ACAACAACAAACACGTGGCGCTGCCTGCGATAACTTCCGCTGACGTCACGGCAGCCTTCCGGTTCCGCTCGGAGGCCGCTATTCGGCGATTCCGTTTTTTGGCGATTCGATTCGTGACTGCATCGATTCCTAAGGGGGACACGTGCGTGGAGGGATCGCGTGCAAACGGGAATGCTTCTAGCACGTGAATGAACGTGAGATCGGAAAGAAGGACCGTTGCATGAAACGTCGCCCGTTATATATTTTGTTTAACACGTAGGCTTTCGTGACAAATATCATCCATAATACAGGTTTTTTTTGGGTTAGATCGCGTAAATAAATACATGTGTCGTTAAACCCGCCACCACCCGACACGGCCAAATTAGTAAGCTCACGTAAACAGATCAGGCCAATTCGTTACTAGTACAGCAACACCGTTTGTGTGTTGGAGAGCCAAGCCACAAAATATATACAATCTTGAGTACGACGTTTCGCCAGTAATTATAAATAGCTTCATCAGGCGACAGCCAGATTGAAATTACTGGCGAAACGTCGTACTCCGATTGTAATTGTTGTGGCTTGGCTCTCCAACACACCGGTGTGCTGTACTAGTGACGAATTGGCATGTTCTGTTTTTGTGACAAACCTTACTAATTGGCTGTGTCTGGTGGTGGCGGGTTTAACGACACATTTGCGCGATCTAACCGAGAAAAACCTCAATTATATATTGTTTCCTTTTAAAAGCCAGAGCTTGCCGGGGCTGAGCTCCGGAACATACACTGGATGTCCCCCTGCCCGCAAAATATTCAATGAGAGATTTAAGCCCTCGAAATGCTACGTGCATCCCAACGGCAAAATAGATCTCCAATAAGTTGGTTTTTTTTCAACAAAACAAATGGAGAAGTATAATTTTCAAGAGTGGCCTAATTTTCAGAAAACAGGGTTTAATGAATATATACAGCGAAACAACGAATTTTGTGCTATTAAATAAAAATACAGTTGTCCGTATCAATGTATAAACAAATTCAAATTATGTAAACAATTTTAACCTTCCCAATTCGCCATTATAATTCCATCCAGCGCCTACACATGGAACTGATTTTCATCGCTCCGTCCCCCCCTGTCGATGAACCTCTCGGACATCTGTGCAAAAATTACTTTATAGCTCATCGGATTCCTCCAGTATAAATACATATTTTGATTCTGGACACATTCCATTGCTTGGCTGCCACTCCCTAACTATTCTTGCCCATCAAAATAATCTGCCCGAGCCGACTTGCGATATGGGGAATTTATTATTGAACCTCGATTAATGTTCCTACAATGTTTTCTCTTTGTCATTTGGCACACTTGCTTTTGCGCCCATTTCCATTTGCTTCATTGCTGTGCTGCATAAAGGTGTCAGTTTTTGTGCCAGTTAAAAGGGTAAAACCTATTGCTATATGCTGTGCTGCACTTAATATTTGTAGTTTGTCGCTTTGGGTGACCCAAGTCACTCTTGCAAATGAGACTCATCATGGTCAATGGAGTTCTCACCACCTGGTTAAACTAAATACACTTGAACTCGATCCATTCTAGCGACATGTCCTGCACAAGCCGAGACACGTTTATGCAGAGCGCTACACTTGTTTGAAAGTTCTTTTTTTAACTTTTAAATAACTTATGAACAAAATAAATAAATAATCTGAATTATGTCATTAGGAAAGAAAATACTCTTTGGGTCTTTTGGTAAAGTCACGTAGATAGAAAAGAGTATGAATTCCTGCAGTCACGAAAGCTTTAAGTCAGGAAAGAAAATGTGTATTCTTTAGTCTACTTACGCATCCATTCCTTTACAATATTGCTATTTTAACTGAATTCGAAATGATTGATCATTCATTTTCATCGCTGTTGTCAATCCACTAATGGCATGCAGGTCATCGAGGGTAGCAATTACTCCTAGAGTCTGTTAAGGCTATTCGGGGGATCTCTGACGTTGTTTCACCATACTTCACCATGCTTCACACTCATGCGATGTGATACACGCCAGAACTCAATTGTTAATCAAAATCTTTAAGGATCTACGAAGACTTGGGCAGCAAGAGGGCGCTGTCGTGAAAAAAATCTGACTGCAAAAAATAATACACGATCCACTTATAGATAGCCCACTGAAATAACGGGAATAATGCAGAAAACGACATTGGATATCAAAGCCTCCACACGTCTCCCGATAATATCAACGCACTTAATAATATTCTAACTCTTTCCTCTTTAATATATATTCGATCCATCGCTTTCCCAATACTAGATGTCTTATCGCCACCGCTGTCGGGATTATTCACGTGGCCTTATAATCCAGCACCGTGAAGGCAGCCAGGGTTAGTGGATCGCACCCAAGCTGCAACATTCCCTTTACGTCGGCGTCGAGATTCCCATACTTTGGCTCACCAGGAGACGGTGGTAGAGCGAATGTGATGGACTCCATCTGTTCCACCCGTACGGGATAGAGTGTTGCCCCCTTACCACGCATGGGCTCTCACCGAGCGCTGCGGTTCCCTGCGACGTGTGAACACTCGTTCATTTTGCCGAGAACACCTTGATATATTTTGATTTAAAGCTTTCGTGACTGCAGTGATTTTACCGAAAGAACCAAGAAAATATATTTTATTGTTTCCCTTCAACGTGACTTTACCGAAAGAACCAAGAATATGAACACCTTGATATGTTGAGGACTGCAGAGCTGGTGGGAGAGGGGGGAGCACCAGTTCACTGTTTGTCTGTGGTTCCTCGCGCCTTTGAGTCGTTCTCTCTTCGAGTGAGTGAATACCGCGCGTTACAAGTTGTCATTATATTATCAATCCCCTATTGGATCGCCGTCCGTATAATCTGCAGAACCCTATACAAACGGGTTGTGCACTTTCACATTTGGGGTTGGCCTCACAATGCATACAATCTCAACTCTGACACCTGTATTTTTGGAGTTTGCATGTTCTTCTCGTGGCCGCGTGGATTTTTTTCCTCCGGGTCCTCCGGTTTTCCCCTCCACATTTAGAAATATGCGTTTAGATTATATTGTTTGGGTCTTTCGGTAAAGTGACGTAGATAGGTTGAATGAAAATAACAAAAAATAACGACGTTTCGATCATAACACAAGCGATCGTCATCAGGACAATCTAGAATCAAAATATGTATTTATACTGGAGGAATCCGAGGAGCTATAAAACTTTTTCACAGATGTTCCAGTCGGGATGGGTCAGAACGGTACAATAACAAAATCCGATCCTCCCTAACGCTCATCCAAACCATGATTTTTGATACGAACACTATCATATCACAGGTCCTATTAATATCCCCAACTCTTATTCATTACACTAACCCTATACATATATCTCACCCTATCACTGACCCTCCTCGTAATACTATCCACACCAAAGTCCATGATCTACCCTGGGTTTCATTCTCAGTTCTCACTTTAAAACCCAGCAAGTTAATTTCCCTTGAAAAATATACAATTCTCAATGGGTTATCATTATCAACCCACTGTTGGATGAAGCCTCGATCCTTGCCAGGTTAATAATCCACCTGGCATCTGCACAGGCGCTGATTTCAACGTTCCAATCCTTGTTTGCCCACTCCGTTATTGTCTGGCACAAGATGATACACTCCCTTGTACTTATACGCCGACATTTGAGGTCAAACAGTAGCTAAACAAATAGTCACTTGCACAGGGCTGGGAACCTGGCCGCCTTCGTTCGATTTCCGACCACATCTAACACCAGTGGCGAGTGATAATCTGAACCGGTCCAGGGCACCAAACCCAAACTTCACCATTACTCGTGATTACCAGCGCGGTGAGGTATGGTCAAACGGCGTCTTGCGATCGACGCAGCGTGACGGAAGAGGCTTCACCCAGCCGTGGGTTGACAAAGGACCGCGGATTATGAAACTTGCTGCTGCCACTGCAGCGCAACAATTCTGTAACAATGCACGTCGTGGTGTGGTGGCTTTGCGGGCTGAGCCTGCTTGCTTCACGCCTACAATGTGGGGATTAGCTAGGTGGCTTTGGGGGGGGGTCGCGTGACGCGAACGCGGGACTCACGTACACAATCTGCCACAAAGGGTGGTCACTTCGCAATGCTGTCGAGACAAACACCTCTCTGACAGCCCACACGGAGACTGGCCGCGGCACACGAGGGGGTTGGGGGGGGTGTGTCCCCCTGCAAGTCACCCACCCAAGCGTTTCGTATTTCACACACCGCAACAGCCGCTCATTTAATGTTGAGTCGACCTAGGGGGCGGCCTATGTATGTTGAACCTCTCTCGCACCGTACGTAGCCAACCGTGCTCATAGGAGGTGCCGGGGGAAAGACAACAAACTCAAAACAAAAAGGCCATGGCCGGGAGTCAAACACAAATTGCTTTGATGTCCATAGCACGCGTGAGCTAACCACTACGATGTCGCTGCCATGCAGTGCCGTATTTTTGCACAGGGGAATTGAGTTGTCAGGTCCATACGGCGTACAGCCGTTTCAATAGGGGCAACATTTTTTTGTCTATTTGATTGTGTTTCTCCCTTGTGATGGGACTTTGGGGCCGTCCATAAATGACGTCACGCGATTTTGGACGTTTTCTGACCCCCCCCCGCCCCCCTTCGTCATACGGCGTCACAAAGTCAGCTCCCCCCTCAATTATGACGTCACAAAGCTCTGCCCCCCCCCAAAAAAAAAAACATGCTTCAAATCACTTTAAACTATTGTCATTGTAGTGCGTATTTAATGTGGCGCTGCACTCTGATGTTGTAGGAGAAAACATTTATTAAAACAGTCTATTTAATTAAGTAGAACGTGTTGTCTATATTTACTTAAAGTTGCGCATTTGAATGTGACGTCACATTTCTCAACCCTCCCCCCTCGTCACACATCGTCACAAATCTCTGACACCCCCCTCCCCCCTAGGTGCGTGACGTCATTTATGGACGTCCCCCTTGTGATGGGACTTTGTAGGATGGACGTTGAGATTTATAAGGGCACGGGGTGACCAATAAGGTCCTGAATTGGTCTGTAATAAGGTAGGGCAACTGTAAGGGGTTGACAGGTATGCAACCTATATAAAGACCACCCGCGTATAGCCGTAACAGACGTATACAGTCACACACGGAGACCTGGGACCCAAACCAAACCTCCGCACCTTCGTCCCCGGCTCTACGCAAATAGGCAAGAGCAGTCTCGAGTTCCGTCTCAAATTCCATCTGCGTGTCCACTCCCAGGCTGGCTGCTGTGTGTTTCCCTGGATGAATGGCGTGTCCTTTTGGTGGTGGGAAGGGGGGAAAAAACAACACATGACTGTACAAGGGAATGCACTCATGTGAAAGTTAGTATCGCGCAAGATATGGACGGAGATAGATAGAGACAGAGAGACAGAGGCAAATATTTGTTCGGTATGACTTCCTTTTGGACTCATCCGTCCCTCCCTCCATCAGACCCTCCCTGCATTCATCCCTCCCCTGCGCGCCTCCCACCGCCTCCACACCGCGCGCATTCACCCACTCGCTCCACTCGCTGAACGAGACCAAACTTTGCTCGCTTGGCAAGAAGCGCCTTGGCGAGTTGTTCTGTGTTTTTTTTTGTAAACCGTGGCTCCGCCGCTGTCCGCAAACAGCCACGACGATGTTGCCGTCGCAGGTCACTCGGTAGCAGAAGTTTGCAGCGTGTTAGACGGGGCGGTGAGAGGTTACAGGTGAAGGGGCGAGAAGAAGAGACAACAGAAGAGACGCATCCACAGCAACCAAAGCCTTCGGTTTTGTTGTTGTTGTGTACACCTGTAACTCAGCGGCAATCCGACGCACGACAGCCGCAAGCTATTGCCAGCGCACTGGGGTGGCGGAACCTGGCCCCGGTGTCGAACCGGAATGCCGATGGTTCTCGGGGATATGTCGTTGATGCTGTTGCTGCTGCTGCTGTTCTGCGCCACGGGACGGGATGCTGCTGCGGGCCCAGCTGAGTTCACCAATACCTGGGCTGCACAGGTGCGTGGTGGCCCCAAGGCGGCCGTGGAGCTGGCTGAGCGACACGGACTCACTTACCTGGGCCAGGTGAGAGACACAACAGTGGCCGTGAACGTGTCAGCGTTGCGCTCCGGGATAATACAAAAAAACATAATCTGAAAATGCGCACAACTCGGTGGTCGCGATGGGGTTCATGTAACGCTTGCAATACAAATGCTTCTGGATAGTAACTGTATTGATCTGGGAGGTCCCATACATAAGTCAGGTGGGATCATTTTCTTTGTATTTGCCGATAGCACGGTTCTGCTGATATTCTTTAAACTTCTTCCTAGGAATACCTAAGTGGACGGAACTCGGATTTGTTTTGGTTGAAATGCAAATATCTCGTACAACTTCATAGCTAGAAGGGTATGTTTATTGCTATATTTGAAAGGACCTGTATAATTGTTTGTGCTTTCGATTTTACAAACGGTTCATTGTGGAAATAACGTGGGTGGATATGCCGTGCACCTCATATACCGTAACGGGGTTTTTTGAGGGGGGGTGATCCATAATAATGTAGGAATACGTGAAAAAAACTTGATTTGGCGCTTTTGTGACTGCAGGAATTACTCTTTGGTTCTTTCGCTAAAGTCACGTAGAAAGAGGAAAAATAATACGTCAAAGTCGCACTCCCGAAAGTGCAAAACGTGAAACAATGCGGAGAGCGATGCTTGCCTTTGTTGTAAAACTAATTATTTGGTGACACTGATTTGCTAGTGGTGCGCGTTGCTGCGTAAGAGGTTTAATTTCCCGAAATGTCGCATGTTATATAATTTCCCTTCAAGGCAGAGTGTTAGTGACGAATGTGTTGAGTTTTCCTGTGACTCATGAAGCCGCGTCTCCACGCTGCCTCAAGAATGACACTTTGCCGGGCAGTCCAATGTTAGTACTTGCTTTACACGGCAGCTTATTGTGGAATCTGAACTGTTGTTGTTGTGGTCTCGGTGTTTAAATAGTTACGTTTCTTTAAATTTGGTTTTAAAAATGTATCTTTGAAATAATAAAAGCAATACAAATAACTTGACATGCTGCAACTGGGTTAAATTGGTCTTCATGGAAATACATGTGGTTTTATTTGGGAAATGGCTACACCCTTGAATTAGCCCGGTATTTTGAAAACACCCTGTATTTTACAATTGTAAAGGATATACATTTGCATTCTGTTAGGTGTAATTATATGGTTATTTTTCATCCACTGGATGTTGCAAACTATTCTTGGTCGAATTAACACAACTTAATTTTAATAATGGAGGCTGAAGCAGAGGACGTGGTCAGTGCATTGCGCCTTGAACCCAGCGATGCGAATTTGATTCCCAACCACGGCCAGCACCAGTCGTTAGCAATACATGAACCAGTCCTGGGTTTCCCCCACTTCAGCAACCCTCACTGAGCATGAGCAGTGCGGTGAATAATGTCCAAACAAACCCCGTGGCGTAGGGAGACTTTCATCCAGATCTAGCAATGGATCGAGAAAAGGACTGTACATTTATTCAAACATATGAATGCATTTTGAAAACCTCAATAACTGGTGTAAAATGTATCTTTTTTTCTGGTGGTGAATTGTTATTGTTGTTAGACGATCTTTATTTTAACCTTGGTCGAAGCACATTGAGACAAAGGGATATCTTGTTAAAAGATGACCTGGGTCACAAAGTACTGGATGATAAATGGAGTATATGATAAAGTCATTTACAGGAACACCAACAGAATACCATCAATACCAATAAATAAAGAATTTAATATCTGGTACAAAAGATGTATTGTCGGAGGTATCAACAGAAGGTGTGTACAGGATTAACTGCACGTGTGGAAAATGTTATGTTGGGCTAACAGGACGAATGATCAGCACAAGACTAAAATAACATCAGAGAAATATTAAATTCTCCCAAATACAACTGTCAGCGGTAGCAGAAAACGCGTGCCAACAAGGACACTCAATTGATTTTGATAATGTTGAAGTTCTGTGAAAAACTGGCTACTACTGGCCAAGACTAATTATATAATCTATCGAAATTGAAATAAAAATGTTTTTACCGTTCGGATAGCTACCTCCTTAGTGCTTCGTAGAAGCGAATCATCAAATAATACATTATTTAAATGCATGCCTATGAAGGGCACCATACTTCAATAGAGATTACCGTTAGTACGGCTTTTTTAATACACACAATAGACAGGAAGGACAAGCTCAAAGGGCTCGCATAATGCACATGTATAATGTACGTTGACTCAGCAATGCCCCCCCCCCCCCCCACTTTGTGCAAGAGCGCAGAAGAGTGGTTACACCACAGCTACACCTCTATATAAGGAACGAAACAGTTAGACTTCTCCACAAATCTTGCTGTCGCCTGATGAAGCTAGTTGTAATTACTGGCGAAACGTCGTACTCAAATTATAAATGTGGCTTGGCTCTCCAACACACCGGTGTGCTGTACTAGTGACGAATTGGCATGTTCTGTTTACGTGACAACCCTTACTAGTTGGCTGTGTCGGGTGGTGGCGGGTTTTAACGACACATATTTACGCAATCCAACCCAAAAAAAAAACCTTATGGATGATATTGGTCGCGAAAGCCTACGTGTTAAACAGATTAACCATCTCATGTGTCAATTCTGAAAATCAAAACAACAATGTTTCCAAATGTCTCGTACAACTTCATAGCAATCACAAATATTATCATAGCAATCCACCACACTGGGCTTGATGCATGTGAAGGTTTATGTAAATTTTTAAATGTAAATGCGATATAAAATAAAACGTAGATATTTTTAAAAGCAGTACTATATAACTCCACACACTCACATTCATATGGTCCAATGATTGAGTCCAATAGTCCATTTTAAACTGACCATGAAGGATGAGTTTTGTATGTTGTAAAGCAGTTATGTTAATTATTCCACGTGTATGGGACATCAGGGTTAAAACTAATACTGTAATGCCAGATATAGTCATAAGTTATGTTTAGGATATAACAATAATTTTGAGGCATGGTATAAGTGTTGGGCTGCTAAACCAGATAAGAGTCATGGTAATTAATTGCAGCGGCTTTTTCGCAGTTGTGCAGTATAGAGCTTACCAATGTATTTTCGGGTTCTACTGAGTGTCGTTCATTTTGATCTTTCCCTGCACCTCCGATTAGCACGGTTGGCTACATACGATGCAAAATAAGTTCACCGTACATACATCGTGATACTCAACATTCCACCTGGCGTGTTGGGAGCTTCTTCAGGAACTCGGAGAGCTATTCACTGTAATTTGTAAAGGTCTCGGAGTCGAGGTTAAACCAATTTGTATGGCTTCTTGACAGCGGTTGTCCTTGTAGAGAAATCCTGTGCAATGTGTATGTTGTTTCTGTGTGTATAGAGGTTTTAATGGCATTTGTAGTTGTGAAGCCGTGGAACATACCTATAATCCAGAGCTCTGGACGCAAGGGTTGGTGAATCGCATGCAGATTGTGTGAAGCTGCCAACCTCCTCTGTGCGACTCGGTGGCTAGGGTATGGCAGTACAACCAGCTGCTTAATGAGCCCATCTGCACTGAACTTTAAGTGTTATTACCTCATATTCATGGAGTATTTTCTTCGGGTGTTCAGTTTTTTCCACCAAAATGTTATAAACCTCCACCCATCCCTTCAAAAAGGAATTTGACAAACATGTTAATGTAGGACCTTCCATATAAAAAGAGTCTTGATACTCAGTGAAGCTTTCATATATAATTTACTCTGTAATAAAATTTATTTAATGAGGTCAGAGACCATAAAAAGATAACTAGGTGGAACCATTACAGTAATGAATGAACGTATTTATAGAGGGCCTTTCATACCACAGGGTTCGAGGCACTTGACACAAGTTAGGATCAAGCAAAACATTTCCAAAGACAAACGTTGTAAAACACTCAGAAAGTAATAATTTAAAAACAAGCAAAGAGAAGGAAAACAATAGTAAAACAGTAAAATAAGCATGAGATGCCAACATGAAATCAGAAGGCTTAAATTACAAAAATAGGCCTTAAGCCTTGATGTAAAAGTAGCCTCTGTGGACAAAACGTTTGACACCATCGGGCAGAGTTTCACGGTTGTGGAGCCCGAACACAAAAAGTCACCTCTGTGTTGTACAGGGAAATTATGTAAAAGTATTTCGTATTTTTAGAGTATTATATAAATACAAAAGGTAGGGGTTTTTTTCCTGCCAAGAGTAACATGTACATTAAAATCGTCAGGTGAAATTTTTTTGAGAAATGTTTTTTGTCGAGGTTATGACTGTTACGGGTATTTTTAATTCACCGAGGAAAAAACAAATCCGTTTCTTCATCTTCTCATTGATCTGAAGCAGAAACAGAACGGTGGCTGACAGTTATTGGACTATTCACTGTAAGTTAAATATATCATTACAAAAATTCCAACTTTTGTTTCTGATAAAACTTACAGATAAATCAGTCATGATTAATGTTTCACAGTTATTGGGTGGGGGGGGGGAAATCTTAGAGTACGAAAAAAAACCTTATCACTGTGGTATATTCCGCATGGTCAATTTAAAGGTGTTGATGACATACCCGTGGACATATTTGGCAAATAAACTCGTGCGTCGTTGGTGTTCGATGGATTTTTACATCGCGGGACCTTGAAGGATGGCAATGGCTTTTGGAGGCCCTCATCCATCAGTGAATTGATCATGGTTGCTGCGTTTACATAGCAGTGTGTGTGTGTGGCGAGATATTAACTACCTTCAAAGGGCTCGCATAATGCATCATGTACGTTGCCTCAATAACCCCCCAACCCCCACCACCACGTGTCTCAAGAGCGCAGAAGCGTGGTTACCTCTATACAAGGAACGAAACAGGTGGACTTTACAATTCTTGCTGTCGCCTGATGAAGCTAGTTGTAGTTACTGGCGAAACGTCGTACTCAGATTGTAAATGTTGTGGCTTGGCTCTCCAACACACCGGTTAGTGCTGTACTAGTGACGAATTGGCCACGTTCTGTTTACGTGACAACCCTTACTAGTTGGCTGCGTCGGGTGGTGGCGAATTTGGATGCTAGACACAAGCCA